CTCTCTCTCCTCGTCTATTGGGTTCATTGTTTTTACCCGCCAATGACTAGCACAGTCAACCATCTACACTTTCCTAAGATTCAGAATCAGAAGCAGTCTCATGAACATAATTTACTTACATACCTAGATACCAGGCTCTGTCGTTTTTGCATCATAATATATAATATCTTCACTTTTTAAACTCAAACTTCACACCGGCGTACGGGCTTGTTCTGAAGAAAAACAACCTAAAAACCCAACCCCCTTCTTGTAGCCACAATCTCTAATAATGAGTGGGCGGTTGGTGGGTGCTGTGGTGTGGTTTGCCCCTTCTTTCTTATCAAACATTTATCTTCCTTATCTCTCACCCTTCTATTTTTTATATTTCCCGTTATTCTCTTGTGGTATTTCTAATCTTCTTCACTAACAGTTCATGAAGCCACAATTTTGTAACAATGACACATTTATGTTGCTACTACCTTGTGAAAATGATAACTAGATGTAGCTACATCTTCTTATAATGACGATTAAATGTAGCGACAATCCTGTGTAAGTGACAACTGCATGTAGCCACAATCCATGTCCCCAGTGAAAGCAGCAATTCCGATGCGCGTAACAAGCTCAAACCGATGGATGCTCTCAACTGTAGCTGGTTACGACTAAGCAAGGTAGATGCTGTACAGACATACAATCAGACAGACACACACACACACACACACACACACACACACACACACACACACACACACACACACACACACACATACACATACGTGCGCGCAAAGATACACATTCACACATGCACATATAGACACACGCATGCACACACACGCACGCATAGACACATGCACACTCACACGCACTCACAAAAACACACCCAGACAGAAAAACAGACATGCACACAGACAGACGCAACATTTACACTCAGACAGACACACGCAGACACGCAGACACACGCAGGCCAATGCACATGCAGGCACAAAGTACAAAGAGACAGCTACGTGTAAACACACTCAAAAACACATACACACATACACACAAACACACACTCAAAAACACACACATACATGCATGCAGACCTCACAAAACGACACATAAAGTCATACAATAATTTTACACACAAAATATCCACATACATCAATACAGATTCTAATATATATGGTGAACGTATTATGTACACACACACACACATAAAAGCATACATATATTGTTTATTGTATTGTGTGTGTGTGTGTGTGTGTGTGTGTGTGTGTGTGTGTGTGTGTGCGTGTGCGTGCGTGCGTGTGTTTCAGTGTATGTGTATTCCTGTATATACCTGTTTGCGAGTGTGTTCGTGTGTGTATGTGTGCGTGTGTGTGTGAGT